TCTGGTCTCTGTCAGTTTGTTCTTTATTTCCACATCTCTGCTTCTATTTTGCTCACTTGTTTGTTTTGTTGATTAGGTTCCACTTATAGGAGGGATCATATGGTATTTGTCTTTCACCGCTAGGCTTATTTCACTTAGCATAATGCTCTCCAGTTCCCTCCATGCTGTCACAAAAGGTAGGAGGAGTTCCTCCTTTCTGCTGCGTAGAACCCCATTGTGTAAATGTACCACAGTTTTTTGATCCACTCATTTACTGATGGGCACTTAGGCTGTTTCTAGCACTTGGCTATTGTAAATTGTGTTGCTGTGAACATTGGAGTGCATAGGTTCTTTTGAATTAGTGTTTCAGGATTCTTGGGGTATAATCCCAGCAGTGGAATTGCCTGGTCAAAAGGCAGTTCCATTCTTAGTTTTTTTTTAGGAAATACCATACTGTTTTCCACAGTGGCTGCACCAGTGTGCAGTCCCACCAACAGTGCACGAGGGTTCCCTTTTCTCCACAACCTGGCCAGCACTTCTTGTTTGTTGATTTGTTTATGATGGCCACTCTGACGGGTGTGAAGTGGTATCTCATTGTGTTAACACATAGTTTTCATTAATTTTAATGATGTTAAGTCTTCATAAGAAACCTATGTGGTTTATCCTTATTTATCCCAAAGTTATATATATTTTTAAAAGATTTCATTTATTTTTTTAGAGAGGAGAAGGGAAGGAGAAAGAGAGGGAGAGAAACATCAATGAGTGGTTGCATCAATATGCATCCCCCACTGGGGACCTGGCCTGCAACCCAGGCATGTGTCCTGACTGGGAATCGAACTGGTGACTGTTTGGTTCACCAGCCGGTGCTCAATTCACTGCACTATGCCAGCCAGGCCTATCCCAAAGTTATAAAAGTATTCTTTACTTTCTTAAAAAATGTTTAGTTTTCTTTTTGCAGTAGGTTTGTGTGGACCTGGACTGGTTCTTATGAATGGGCTGAGTCAGAGACCCGTTTTCATTTTCCCACAAAGATAATCAATTGTCCCACCACCAGTTGTTATTAGGCCATTGCTTTTAACTATAATTTTTTTGAGGGGGGGGAAAAGTTGTTTTGAAAAAAAATACCTAAATAAATTATCAGCAACTGAAACCAGCAAAGTGTTAGTAGTTGCAGTTACATTATGAGCCAACTGTGTTTACCTGGAGAATTCAAGGAGAGTTTACCAGTAGGAACGCTACTGATGTAATTGAGCTCATAAACAGTGTCAAGAAGAAATCCCTGGCCCTGGTTGGGTAAGTCAGTTTGTTATAGCCTCTTCCTGATAGGCCAAGGTTGTGGGTTGGGTCCCCAGTTAGGGCACACATAAGAATCAACCAATGAATGCATAAATGAATGGAACAGCTGTGCTTCTCTCTCTCTTCTTTCTCTTCTCTCTCTCTCATCAATGAAATTTAAAAGAGAATTTAAAAAGAAAGCCCTTATGATCATCTCAATAGATGGAGAAGACAAAGCATGCAGTTAGCACTGTTTTATGTATTGCATTTTCCCTTAAAATGGTATTTTTAGAAATGATAAAAAATTCAGGGCAGCAAAAATCAAACAAAAATGACGCATGAGCAATAGAGACGCTGCAGCATCTGTTCTGGTAAGTATGCCTGGTGTATGTCTATCGGTCTTTGCTCCGTCATGCTCAGGTCTAAGTTTCTGTGATCCACAGGCAGTGTCTTTGGCAAGGTCTGATTTCCGTTTGGCGTTGTCCTACTCATGGATCCCATGCAGGGCGTGAGAATCCCCGAGAAATAAAAGATTAATCCAGCCTAGTGGACCCTGGCTCCTTACCTCTGAGTGCGTCTGGGCTGTAGGCTTGACCGGCCCCTCACGTAATGAATCCCCCGGCGGCAACCCGAGACCGGTTCTCCGCCTTCAGGTCACCTGCTCTGTCAGAAGGGACAGATGAGAGCGCTCCAGAGACTGGTGGGTCTGTCTTTCGGTCCCTCCTAATTCTGCCCCTCCTCTAAGGAGAGGGTGGGCCCGCTGAGCTGGAGGAGGGTGGAGATGTCTGTTTAGAACCAGGGCTCGGCTTTGAGAATGTGCCCGGGTCAGGGGCCTCCCGGGGACATGGGACTCCCAGGTTCTGGTGGCGAACTGGGACCCCGGTTCAGGGTAAATGGAAGCTGGGCAGAGGGGATGGAGGGGAGGGTGCCGGAGGTTCGAGAAGGAGCAAGGCAGGGTCCCGCAGAGATTCACTCCGGAGACGGCAGCGGCGGAGGGAACGAGGGGCCAGAATTTTGGGTGAGTCTGGTGCGCGGAGATCAGAGCCATCGGCTGCGACCTGCGAAGGCGCTTGCAGGGGGGATCGGCCGGGGTATTTTGCACCACAGCTCCCTTTCGGTGATGAGGTGAGCCCCAGGCTCAGCCGAGTAAAGAGTGGCTTTTCAACCCCAGAGCTGCGGAAAGGCAGGGTTGGAAAACGAAGAGAAGCCACCCTTACAGTCTCTGATGCTAGTAACCCATTTCCCGGCCGACCCCTTCCCTTTAATACTTTGTGCCCCTGCGCGTGCGCCTCGGCTGCATGCTCTGGCGGAGGATAAATTAAGCTCACTGACCACTGCAACACGCACTGCGCTTGCGCGGCAGCTTCAGCCTCTAGACTGATTTGTGCCTTTCTCAAAGGCCCACTGCGCGTGCGCCTCCACCTCTCCACCCAGGTGCGCTACTAGCGTCCTGTTGGAAAGATTGCACCACCTTTCCCTGTACGCGCATGCCGGTCACTGTTATCCCTAATGCCGGAGAAATGTGTAGGCGCTCCGTGCCCTCGTGCGATCTGCGAAGGTCAGAATTCCAAAACCTGCCGGGCCCTGGTGTTTCAGATGAGGAATTGTGGCCCAGACTGGGCCACTACGGAAGGCGCAGCCACTATGGAGGGCTTAACGGAGACGTCAGATGTACAAAAAATATCTTGTGCTTGTTTGTACAGCGTGTGGGCTCAGAAGAGCACAGGCAGGTGTTTGTTTCGCAGGGATGGCCTGAGGGCTGGTGCGGGGTTGCATGGGGTCCCACATCTGCAGGACCTGCCAGCATCCCTGGTGATGCCTGCGCAGTCCTCGTGTCCTCGAGCAGGCCAAACATGCCGCGATCCCGGCTGCCGCGGCCCCTTCTTTGACTGTTTCCCACCCTCACCTCTCTCCCCAACCTTCCTCTCCTTCTCCATGTTCCTATTAAACCTTCCTGACTTGCTGCCTCACTGAGGAATGGGGGCTGTCCACACCGCCCGCCACATCCTTGGTTTCCTCCCAACCTGCACCGATTTCCGGGAGCTATCTGGACGGCCCTTTCTCTGGTCTCCTTTAGGTCTGTGCGGATGTCACCTTCTCAGGACACGTTCCTGACCACCCTCTCCAAACACTCCCTCGCACCCTTTCCTCCTTCTGTCTCAGTCCCACCGGCTGACTTACCAGCGCTGTATATTTTCCTTGTCCGTTTTGTTGTTGCCTGCCTTCCCGCACTGGAAGGAAATCTCCATGAGATCACAGATTTTGTCTCTTCTGTTCATTGGTATGTCCCCAGCGCCTAGTGAAACCAGAAAAGCTGGCGTTCTCGCTGCCTGTCACCACCAGAACCACTGAGCAGAGACAGGGATAGACTCTTCATGGGCACTTTATTCAGAGGGCTGGCGATCTGAGAAGATGGCGGGTTATATAACCTAACAAATAGTCTTACATTTCCTTTCAAGCCAGCCTTTCTTATAATGGGCAGAAATGTATGTAAAGGGTCTGGGATTCAAGGGAGTGAGTATAGGTAAGGGATTTGGGATTCAGGAAAGAGGTTAATCAGGTAAAAGCTGCAGTCCAGCAATTTCTCTAACATCCTTTCGTCTATTGATTTTCTTTATCTGTGTCCTGCGCAATTTTCTTTATCTGTGTCCTGGGCTACGGACTGTCTCTGCCTGGAACACAATGGCTTGGAGACCACCTTGACTGCTTACAATCTCTTGCAGAGCACAAAGGTCCATTGCTGTGGTCTTCTGGGGTCAGGGTGGGCCGTCCCTGCAGGTCCTGAGGCAATAGCTTTTCACATGCATTAACTACTAGGCTTATTAACTAGGGCCTAAAACTAAACTTCCCAGCTCTTGAGTTCCCTCATCACAGCAGGGAACCCAGAACAGTAGGTTTATGGTCCATAGTAGGGAGGCAAGAAATATTTGTTAATTGAATTAATAATCACCGTCATAGCTGGTGTCTAAATGCTTTTCATGAGCAGTCATGGCTCTAGGCAATTTCCATGAACTATCTCAGCGAATTAAACAATTTCCTGCTGTCTTGGAGACCTGCGTCTCCTGCCCCACGGGCTCACTTGTCATCAGGCACTGTGTCTGTTGCTGCTTCCTACAGATCTGCCATCTTAGTGGAACTCTCACGTCCACGCGGCCCACACCGAGCTTTATGCGGCCACAGTGAGATGAAACCCCTGGGTCCTCCCCTGGCTGCCTCCTATGGCTTGGGAGGAAATGATGTGGGCCTTACAGGGATTGTGGGCAGCCAGGGTGCCTGTCATGGGCCTGTCTGCAGACCCGTGGCCGAATCCTGCCTCTGGAGCCTCTTCCTCCACCTGTCTCCCCCTGCCCCCCGCCCGCACAGTATCTCATCAAATGGTAAATGTATGTCTGTCTTTTCCCTGGCTGTATCTGTCCTCAGCACAGGTGGGAGGTGGGGAGGTAGTGAAGTCCTGGCCTCAGAGCAGAAGGCTGGCCTCTGCTATCTGCCAGCCTTGTGATCTAGGTAACTCCTCTGTGCCTCGGTTGCCTCTCCTTGCCTCGTTTAAACCGATTGCGATGCTGTAATTGGTAGGTTCTGGTCCTGGGAGGCAGGCAGAGGCTGTTACTAATCACTCTGTGTTCTCCCTTCCCTCCTTAGAGTCAGGGCAGGGTCCTGCTCATGACCGTCTGTGCAGCTGGCATTGGTGGGACTTTTCAGTTTGGCTATAACCTCTCCATCATCAATGCCCCCACCTTGGTATGTACCTCCTGTGCCCACTATCACCAGTCGAGTGAGTGCTGGGTGCGGGCTGACAGCTGGCCCCTGTGGGAGTTCAGGCCAGCATCTACTTGGTAGGGCTTTCTCCTACACCTCCACTGGGATGTCTCATAGGTCCTGCACGTTCAAATCCGGCTCCTCATCCTCCTCTGAACCCACACTCTTCCTGAGTCCCTGATGCCAGTTTCCACTGTGCACCCAGTGACTCGGGGTCAGCCTTTACTCTGCGCTCCCTCTCTTAGATGCCAGTCCTCCTTCACTACCTCTAGCATGCAGCTGTTTCTCTCCGTGTCTCCGCCATGACCCCTGCTCACGTCCCATCTCTCCTGCCTGGATTGCTGGTATGGTCCAGCCTCTTTATTAGCCTCCTGACCTTCAGCTTCTCCCCTTCTAGGTCCTCTCAAGTTTGATCAAGCCCAGAAACATTCTGTGTCTTCCTAGTGCCTGCAGGCATGAGCACAGACTCACCCGCCTGCGTGAGTCTGGAATCAGAGCCTGTTCGTCCATCTCCCACCTTCATTCCCCCAACAGCACTACCCAAGCGGGTTGTGCAGCTCCCCAGAGGCACACAGCCCTTCCTTGAACCCTCCTTTCTCTGGGAAGCCCCTCAAGAACTACCCTCCAAATGCCATCACCCTCCTAAAGCCTTCCTTGAACAACCCCCAAGCCGGAAGTCACCCCTCTGTCCCCGGCCCGTGGCGCGGGTCATGTGTTGGTTGTTTCGGGCCCATCTCTTCCTCCTGTGACTCCCCAGCAGCTGATGCCGGCCTGACCCCTGTGGGTGTTCAGTGTGGGCCTGTGGGAAGGATGAGTCACTGAGCCCTGGTGATGGAAGCCTCCTCTTACTCGCTTAAGTAAGAAGGGCTAGTGTCCCATCACAGAGCTGGAAAGAACGCGGGGTCCATGTGGGGGGAAGAGCTGCAGGAACCAGGCCCAGGATGGAGCTGGGGCCCTCCTGTTCTTGCCTGGCCTTGTGCGTCACTCAGGGACAAGAAAGCAGCTGTCACAGGTTCACTTCCTGCTAGTTGAGAAGCCCCAAACAAAAGTCTTCCCAGGTAGCTCCTGCCGAAAGGCCTGGGAAGGGTGATCAGGTGGCTTGGGTCACTGCCCACCCCTAGCCCAATCGTGTGGTTCAGAGGGTAGAGCACTTCTATTCGCTGCATCTGGCTCAGGGGACCACATTTGTAGGGGCTGTAATTGAAAACAGGAGAGGACTCAGGTTGGCGGGGGCATAGCAGAAACCCCCAGGTGGGAGCACATAGCTCCAGGTGGGAGCACATTCTGGGTAGAAACAATTGGAGCAGCCCAGCCCCTTAAAGAAATGATGAAATGATGGCTTTAGAAGTGGGGTCTGAGCTAGCTGTGCCTGTTTCTGTGTTCATTCAACACGGACGGGGGTGCCACTTCAGTGCAAACCTCCTGGCTGGTCACTCTCACGCCCTGTCTCCCGTGGGCCATCGCCAGTCCCCCCGATGGGGCTCTCCTGGCCTCAGAGGGCTCCTCTACCACTGAATGGTCACTCTCGAGTTCCGGCCAAGGTCAGCTCCTCTGGACACGTCATTCCTCCAAGGGGACCTAGCGGGTACCAGGCTGACAGCCTGAGCAGGAGGGAACTGGCCCAACACCCAGCGCACTGCCCTCCTAACGCCCTCCCTCACATCCGTCGGGGAGGCCTGAGCCAGCCAGACACTGACATTTGGTCTCTCACCAAGGCAAGGAGGGTGTCTGGGTCTTTCCTCGCTCACTGTCCTGAGAGGCATCTCTGGGCGTGGGGTCCTGGGGTGTCTGAACTACCTGGCAGCAGCCCTAACCTGTGGCTGAAGTGGTGGGTGAGCGAGTCATTCACCCGATTCCCAGTCTTAACGATGAGCAGAGCGACGTGTCTCTGACCCATGCGCACTTCCCAGGGCTCAGCACGGGCAGGGTCCCGAGGAAGCGCGTGGCACGTGCCGGACTGGCCAAGCGGGTTTGGGCACCACAAAGGACAGCTTACAAAAGCCGAGTGGGGTGCCGGGGGCACACAGTCCGGTGGCGGAGCAGTGATAGTGATGCAGAGTTCGGGGCACAGAGGAAGCGCCATGTGGCTCAGAGGGGAACGGACACCCTCCCACTTCCCTCTGATGCCCTGCTGGTGCTCACCAGCGGCCAGTCCTAGCAGAAAGCTGGTCAGCCAGGAGCCCGCAGATGGGGGCCATGAAGATGGCTTCCAGGGCCCAAAGCAGGGTGGGTGGGGGACAGTGGGCTCCAAGGGCAAGTGGAGACCGTCCCGCACTAGGCTCCTGGAGATGCTGTGTGTGATAGTCAGTCTGTGCTCAGGCGAGTTTGGAGTTTGCACTGCTCACGGCAGGGGAGTGGAATTGTGGGAAGACCTGGTGCCTTCTCTGCAGGGTCAGCCCCTCATCTGTAGTCCCCAACCTGGGAGGCTGACTGGCGTCTCTGTCCACAGCACATACAGGAGTTCACCAATCAGACGTGGCAGGCGCGTTCAGGCCGGCCGCTGCCTGACCACCTGGTTCTGCTCGTGTGGTCCCTCATCGTGTCTCTGTACCCCCTGGGGGGCCTCTTTGGGGCACTGCTTGCAGGGCCCTTGGCCATCATGCTGGGAAGGTAAGTGCTCCCTGTGTACCTCCAGTTCCCTTTAGTGAGGGTCAGCTCAGCCTGCAGGCTGAGGAATTCAGGAGAAGGAAGGTGGCCAGCAGGCCCCGGCCTCCTGTTCCACCTGTAGTTCCACAGGAGACAGTTCCCAGCGGACTTGGTAGAGGGAGTCCCGGGCTATGTGCGAGGATGGACTCGAGTTTCCAGTGCCACGTCTACCTGCAAATGCCATTTGATCGTAAACAAGTGTCTTCTCCCTGGGCCTCACTTCCCCCTTTGAGTCCAAGTGATGCAGTGCCTATGTGGCAAATGAGAGAGACGGACTCTGGGTGAATTAATTGAAACTTGTAGTAACTGGCAGGATACGGGGGCAGCTCTCAGGGTGAAGGGAAGTGCTCAAAAATCAGGCCTCCAGAGGACCAGCACAGCCAGGCCTGTGCACCTCCCCCCAGGAGGGTGGCTTCACCATGCCAAGTGGAGGCACATTCTGTCTCCTGCGTCTTTATTCAGAATTCAGAATCCGGGAAGATGAACTGTTGTCGGCCCACCTTGGGTCACCTGTGAAAGAGGGGAGAGAAGCGATGGCAGGCAGAAGCAGCAAATGGCTATCACAAGCCACCCCCTTGCTGGCCACCCAGTGCACGTGGACACACTTCAGCCATGTAGTCAGGTCCGCAGGTGCCCTCCTCACGTTACTGGGCCATCCTGGCATAAGCACCCGCGTCCGTGTTCACCTCTCCCTGAGTGAGACACTCAGAGCGTCATCTTGGCACAGCCGCTAGGGCGGATATGGGGGGGCGGGGGGGTGGGGAACGCTCCTGCTGAGCGCGGGACTTCCCTGTGGTGACATTCTGCCAGCCCTGCAGTCGACCCACATGGTTAGTAGTGCTCTAACGGCCACCAGGACACCCCCCCAGAAAACCAAAAGAAGGAGAAAGAGTAGGGAAAACTAATCAAGGAAAAGTAGTGGATGAATTTAAAAAATTTTTTTGACCTTTAAAAAAAACCTCACTCAAGGATATGTTTATTGATCTTGAGAGAGAAAGAGAGAAACATCAATGCGAGAGAGAAATGTTGATCAGTTGCCTCCCATATGCGCCCTGACCAGAGATTGAACCCATAGCCTAGGCGTGTGTCCTGACCAGGGACCGAACATGCAAACTTTTGGTGTATGGAATAACATTCCAATCAACTGAGCCACCCGGCCGAGGCTGGATGAGTTTATTTTAGAGCATGTGATACAGGAAGCCCAGAAGCACAGGTAGAAGTTCCACCTGTTGGTTTTGGAACCGGTCACAAGCTGTTGTCTGCATTGTGACTCCCACCTCCAGTTCTCCACTCTTGTCCTTGGCTAGCATTTCCCCTAGTTGAGGCTCCTTGTCCACTGGGCTGACCCGAATCTTCATCCTTGAGTGGCCTTAGTGGTCCTGATGGTGTGGGATCTCCAGCCAGTCGTTACGCTGTGAGATCGCCTGCTTCTGGGTGATGGGATTCGTAATGCAACTATGCATTCCATGAGCACCGACCTTCCTCTTTCCCTGATGTAACTTCTTTGTCGGATACAAGTTGCATGGGTATCATGTTTGTGTATTTACCAGGTGTATCTGTTAGGATGCCTTCCACTGTAAACAGTAAAACACCAGGGCTCAGTTGGCCAAAACAATAGGAGATCCTCTATCTCACACAGGAAGTCTGTAGGTGGGTGACTTCCAGGCTCCTCTGCGGCCCAGGTCCGCTCCTCTGAGATTCCCTTGGCTGCCAGTTTCACTGTGTCGGCAGGGCCCTCGGGCTTGCAGCCGGACAGCCACAGCAGTGCGTCACTCGGATGCAGCACTGTCCGTCCCCAGCGCCCCTGTCCCTGTTCGCAGCCTGTCCCATCGAACTAAGCGTGGACCATCCAGCTGTCTGGCAGGTTCTGATTTGGATACCAGTTCCTTCTTTTCACAAAGGATTTTGGGGAGAGTGGTGCTTAATCTGAGGGATGAAGCCGTAAAATAGAAGTCCCATCACTTCAAGCCATGGTACAGGCAGCAGGGAGAGTGACTGGGGCATGCTGGGGGAGGGGGGTGGGAGTGCACCCCTCTAGGCATACCCCAGGCGCAGTGAGTGGCTAGTGGTCATTTCCATCCATGTGGCTTAGACTCCTGAGCGCAGTTCACACACACCCCCAGGCCTGGTCAGGGCTGGCTGGAGCGGCAAAGAGGGGTCCCCAGGGCCAGCCGCTCTGGACTGACCTTGGCCTCTCTTGCCTGTGTTCCGCTTGCCCCAAGGAAGCGGTCCCTCCTGGTGAACAACATCTTCGTGGTGGCCGCAGCGGGTCTCTTTGGCTTCAGCCGCAGAGCAGGCTCCTTCGAGATGGTCATGCTGGGTCGGCTGCTCGTGGGGGTCAACGCAGGTATGGGGGGAGGGCGCCTCACCCTACCTGTCCATTCTTGCTCGTCCACTTATTCCCACTTTGTTTTCGCAAAATGATTGAATATGGTTTATTTTAAAAGGCAGACATTTAAAGTGGGTATGGAAGAATGAAAATGTGCAGGGACATGAGAACAAACATCCCCAAACCTGCACTAACACAGGTTCTGCATTTCAGTAACACTCTAAGCCATGAGCTTCCTGGCAGCCAAGGTAAAGGGCATCTCAGATGAGTTCTCTGATCTTCCATACAGAGGCAGGGAAGCCTGTTAGGGACTCCTCAGTTTTGGGGGCTTGTCATGGGAGGGAAGAGAATTCTGAGCACATCCGCCTGGGCTTTTAGGGGCTCCCGTCAACAAATCCCCTCTTGACGCCCCACTGTTTGAACAGCCAGGCGTCGATGTCTGTATTAGTTATCGAGCGCTGTGAAACAAAGTACTTAAAAGTCAGTGGCTTAAAACAACCAATGTGTATAATAATCTGACAGTTTCTGGGGTCAGGACCTGGGAGGGTCTTAGTGGGTGGGTCTGGCTCGGGGTCTCTCAGGAGGCTGAGGTCAAGCTGTTGCGCAGGCCTGCAGTCCGCTGAGGGTTTGAGTGGCTCTGGCTGTTGGCCGGAGGCCACAGCTCCCCGGCCTGTGGGTCCCTCTCACAGCAAGAGAAGGAAAGAAGCGTGTGTGTGTGGCTCAAGGAGGAAGGCCCAGTGTTTCTTATGTCCTAATCTCCGAAGTTGTATACCGTCAGTTTTGCCACAGTCTCTGTGTGAGAAGTGAGTCCCTTAGAAGAGCCCAGACTTCAGGGAAAAGGAACTAGGTCACACTTTGTCTCTGGGCCCCGAGGACCCAGCACAGAAGGAATCCCTCCCTACATGTTTGTGGGAAGAGCAGGGGCACCTCCGAGACTTCCGCAATCAGTGTACCCACCTCCCTCCCAGCGCCCTGCACCCAGTGCTCAGAGAGAGGCAGGCCCTTGACGAGGCCTGTTTCCTGATTCCCGGTCAGGGAGGGGGTGGACCAGCACTCCCTGCAGTATTCCCGGGGGCACAGTCCTCAAATACTGTGGCCTTCTAGCTTCTGCCAGCTGTCACCATCTGGGGTAGGCAGTGGGGGTCCAGTTCTGTTTTCCCACTGGTTGTCTGGGTGCCGCTGTCTCTCTGGGGAGGCGGGGATGAGGGGAGAGCCTGCAGGAGCCATGGTCAGCGATGGTGTCGATGTGAGCACTGCGGCAGCTGGTGGGCATCCAGATGCCCCTTCCCCTCTCCCCCCACCAGCCACTCAGAGCCCTTTGCAGCCATCCCACTGACAGGGTCTAGAAAGACTCGATGACCACAGTTAGGGCTGTGCTGAGGGAACAGGTGGGATTGTTCTGAGCCCTGGGGTGGATCTGGAGCCCTGCTGGTCCTGCAGCAGGGGAGGAGGGGCCCCTCCAAGCGTGCAGGGTAAGGGAGCAGCACTCAGCGCCGGGGCCCAGTAGATGAGGTGCTAAGGATGTGGGGCGTTGTGGGGCTAAGGGTTCCAGCCTGACAGCAACTCTGCTGTGCATGTGGCAGGTGTGAGCATGAACGTCCAGCCCATGTACCTGGGGGAGAGTGCGCCCAAGGAGCTCCGAGGAACCGTGGCCATGACCTCAGCCATCTTCACTGCCCTGGGGATCGTAATGGGCCAGGTGGTCGGACTCAGGTAAGTGCCCTGCCGTGTGCAAAGTGGTGTGAGGGGTGCCCATAAAAGCCCTTCTTTGCCTAAATTTCCCCCTATATACTAAGTAGATGACAACATTGCTTCTGTGTATTGAGGTGTTGAAACCTGCCTGCTCCCACCTGGTCAGCACACAAAACAGGAATCAGTCAGCCACACACACTTTAGTGTGAATCACACTTTTCCATCCTCTCCAGATCAGGAAGCAGAGAGCAGGTCTTGACAGAGAAGAGGGTAAAGGTTTGGGCTTTTCCAGGTGAGCCTGTCTTAGTCATCCCAGAAAGGAGAGGGGATCGCAACACCTGGGGCCTGGAGAGAGGAGTTGTTAGGGATAAGGAGGGGCCAGAGCCCTGCCTTACCTTGGGTTTTTCCATGGGTGGGAGGGGTCTTCGTGTCCAGGCCTGGAGCTGCTCAGGAAGAAGCACAGAGCAGTGCAGATCCCCCGCCCTCAAAAAGGCAGGCAGGCAGGAGACAGGGCTCTGGCAAGGAGGCGTCTGGCCTGACCTCTCCTTTGCCTCTCCAGGGAGCTCCTGGGTGGCCCGCAGGCCTGGCCCCTGCTGCTGGCCAGCTGCCTGGTGCCTGGGCTGCTCCAGCTGGCCTCCCTGCCCCTGCTCCCTGAGAGCCCGCGCTACCTCCTCATTGACCGTGGAGACGCAGAGGCCTGCCTGTCAGGTGAGTCTGTGACCTCAGGTTCCCAGACCCTCCTGACCAATGGGTGCATCTGCCCAGATCATGTGGGTCCTCTTCTCAGGTTTCATTTTTGAGGGAAAAGTCGTCCCTCTCTTGGTGCCTCTACTGATCCCTGTAAAATGCTTTATGGAGGGGCTGTCCTGAGTGCCAAGGCAGCAGGGTGGGACAGACCAACCCCTGCCCCCAGGAAACCCCAGGGTGGTACAGAGAAAGACCGCCCCCCCGCCCCCGCCACACATGCAAGATAAGGCACCAGGTAGGACTTCACGGCTTGATGCCAAACTGTCACGGACGGTCAAATCCATTAGCTGTGGCTGCAGTAATGATGCCTGAGGAATGATCCCCCAATCTCTGGCTTAAAACAACAAACATTTATGGCATCTTCTACTCATTCACTTGCTGCGCTGCCCCCACAGCCTTGCTGATCTTAGCTGGGCTGGCTCCTGGTGCCAGCGTCGACCGAGGAGTGGCCAGTCCCGGCCGGTCTGGGCTGCTACAGTTCCGCTCCGCTGCACATGCCTTTTCTCTCACTCCTGGTACCAGCCAGCTAGCTCAGGGATGTTCTTGTCACAGCGATGGCAGGTGCACAAGAAAGCAAATCCAGCCGAGTGAGCACTTTCCGAACCTTTGGTCGCCTCGTGCCCTTTTAATATCCCATCGACCCGAGAGAGTCATGTTATTGGACCCAAAGTTAGGGGGTGGGAAAACCAGTGGCACATCCTGTCCCATGGCGAAGGGTGTCGATTTAGGGAGGGCCCACTAATATGTTTTCTCAGCTTGCCATCAGGGCCACAATGATTACTCACGTCCCTCCCCTGTGTAGATCATGCTAATTGCCATCTGGGACCCCCTGAGGTCTTATCCAATGGCACCAAGCTTAAAGTACAGAATCCTTTTTTTCCCTTATGATTGATTGATTGATTGATTGATTTTTGGAGAGTAGAGAGGGGGAGAGGAAGAGAAACATCAAAGTGTGGTTGCTTCTCACGTGCACCCATCTGGGGACCTAGCCGGCAACCTAGGCATGTGCCCTGACTGGGAATTGAACCGGTGACTGTTTGGTTCACAGGCCAGTGCTCAATTCACTGAGCCATACCAGCCAGGACTGAAGTCCAAGGTCTTTTTTTTTTTTAATATATTTTATTGATTATGCTATTACAGTTGTCCCATTTCCCCCCTTCACTCCCCTTCACCCTGTACCCCCTCTCCCACCCACGTTCCCCCCCTTTAGTTCATGTCCATGTGTCATACTTATGAGTTCTTTAGCTTCTACATTTCCCATACTATTCTTGCCTTCCCCCCTATCTATTTTCAACCTACATTCTATGCTACTTATTCTCTATACCTTTTCCCCCCTCTCCTCCTCCCACCCCCCTGCTGCTAGCCCTCCATGTGCCCTCCATTTCTGTGGTTCTGTTCTTGTTCTAGTTGTTTACTTAGATTCTTTTGGTTTTGCTTTAGGTGTGGTTGTTAATAATTGTGAATTTGCTGTTCTTTTACTATACATGTCTTTTCTTTATCTTCTTTTCTTAGATAAGTCCCTTTAGCATTTCATAAAATAAGGGCTTGGTGATGATGAACTCCTTTAACTTGACCTTATCTGAAAAGCACTTTATCTTCCCTTCCATTCTAAATGAGAGCTTTGCTGGATAGAGCAACCTGGGATGTAGGTCCTTGTCTTTCATGACTTGGAATATTTCTTTCTAGCCCCTTCTTGCCTGTAAGGTCTCTTTGGAGAAATCAGCTGACAGTCTGATGGGAACTCCTTTGTAGGTGACTGTCCCCTTATCTCTTGCTGCTTCTAGGATTCTCTCCTTCGTTTTTACCTTGGCTAATGTAATTATGATGTGCCTTGGTGTGTTTCTTTTTGGGTCCAACTTCTTTGGGGGCTCTCTGAGCTTCTTGGATTTCTTGGAAGACTGTTCCCTTTGCCAAATTGGGGAAGTTCTCCTTTATTATTTGTTCAAATACGTGCTCAATTTGTTGCTTTTGCCCTTCCCATTCTGGTACCCCTATAATTCGGATGTTGGAACGTTTAAAGGTGTCCTGGATGCTCTTAAGCTTTTCCTCGATTTTTTGAATTCTTATTTCATCATGCTTTCCTGCTTGGTTGATTCTATCTTCCTTCTGGTCCACTGTATTGTTTTGAGACTCAGATTCCTTCCTTTCACTATTGGCTCTCCTCCGCGTATCTTCCTGCATCTCTTTTATGGTAACCTGCATCCTTTCATCTAAATTGCACCCAAAATCAACCAATTCTGTGAGCTTTCTGATCACCAGTGTTTTGAACTGTGCATCTGATAGATTGGCTATTTCTTGGTCGCTCAAAAGGATGAGTCCTGGGGGACTGATCTGTTCTGTTGGAAACATATCTTATGTCTTTTCCTGTCTCTCCTTTTTTTTTTTTTTCCGGGTCTGGTCACTCTTGTTACGGTGGGGGGCGGAGCCTTAGGTGTTCACCAGGGCTGGGCACCCCAGTCGCTAGATTGTGACGTTATATGTGGGGGCGGGGGCGGGAACCGGGATGGGAGGGAATAATGGTGGTAGTTCCCTTCTCCTGGGCCCAGACCCTTCTCTGGGATCCTGGGCTGCGAGCTCTGCCCTGGTCCACAATCACCGCCTCACTGGGTCTGCCAGCCGCAGCTTGCGTACTCAGGGATCACCGCTGCCTTCTTGCGCCCCGGATGGCTGTCACGCTGATTTCGTGCCAAATTTTCCCCGACCTCCGCGCGCTGCCGACCCGCACCAGCCCCACGCCCACCCGGCTTGTCGTCTCCTACCGGTCTGGATGTACGGGTCTACTTCAAATTCTTGGCTGTCCGACTTCCATTCAGATAAATCCTCTATCAGTTCTGAGTGTTATTCTATCTGTAAATTATTGTTGTTCTAATCTTGGTTGTGCGAGGAGGTACGGTGCGTCCACCTATTCCTCCATCTTGCCGGAAGTCCAAAGTCCAGGGTCTTAAGATCACATCAAGTCTATTTGTGTTTTCTCTTGATCCAGAGACCTAGGAGCCAGGACACAAGTCTTCTCCTCTTCTGTACTCAGTGGTGAAAGTGGGAGACCGTGACTAGAACTAACCTTCATTTCAAAGGAGTGGGAGGCAAGGAAGTGGGAAGCAGCCGAGACCCACAGCAGTGCTTGAGTGCAGCTGGGAAACTGCACTCAAGATTCCCCTGCCCAGGGCGTAGGGCATGTTCCTCTGTCCCCTGGGAGGGACTCCTCAGCCATGGCTCCCCCAGCTTCTTGCTTCTGTCCTCCCAGATGTCCTTCCTGCCTAACGCCTTCCCAGACACCTTCTGAAGATGGCGTTGGGAATGTCCCTGTAGAAAGTGGGGCATGAAAGTCCGTGCATCTCAAATGGTCCCTGCCTCTTTTCATCCAGGCTGGCAGAACTTTTGTTAATACGGTTTTCTCAAAAGTGACATGAATTTTCTATGTATTTGATTTAGGTACCAAAAGGCCACACTCGCAGTTTTTTTCAGATATGCGTCTCTCCTAAGACCTAGTTATTGGAATCTGGGGCACATCAGGCTGCTGTCGACCAACACCCTTAGGCCACTGGAATGCCCCCTTTTTTAAACCAGGTGACTCTGTAAGGCTGTCGGGCTGTGACTTAATTTGGGACTTTTTGCTAGCTGGGAGACTAGAGATAAGAAAGAGGTGTTTTGTTTTGCTTTGTTTTATTCTTGGAAACTAACCTTGCAAGTATGGGATAAGTTAAATTTAATTAAATTGTGTTCCTTCTGAAGTTGTTGTGATCACGTCTTTTTTGTAAAGCAAGCTTAGAATACTCAACTAAAGGCAGGCAGTTCATTTTCAACACGTGGAGATCTCCGCCCCAGGCCGGAAGTGCACTGGGTCTGCTTTCCCTCCACCACGCTACAGCCCCACACTCACAGGCTGCCCCTTGTCCAGCCTCCTCGTCACTCTCTGTCCGCACCTGGGACCAACACCACAGATCACAGGTCCTGGTTATGGTAGCACCCACTCCTTGTACCGGTTTATTCATCAATTTTCTGTTTCTGCTTAACAATCGCTGCACCTCAGGGGCCAAGAAAAGAAACAACTGCTTAGTTCAAGCCTCTGTGGGTTCTCTGGGGCTGGCTGATACCGGCTGTGTCTGGTTGGCGGCTCTGCTGTTGGTCACTCATGCAGGTTAACTGGGCGTTGGCTGGTCTAGTCTGGTGCCAGCAGGGCCATCTCTGCTCGTCCTGGCACCAGTGGGCTAACCTGGCAAGTTTTTATGATGATAACAGAAGAGCAAATAGAAATGAGCAAGGTCCCTTAAGGCATGGGCTGGAACAGGGGCATGCCCTCCCTACAGACTCATCCTATTGGTCAGAGAAAGTCACATGGTGGAGCCCAGTGCCAAGGATATGAACTTGGCCTGTTTAGTGGAAACTACTGCAAAATCCCTAGCAAAGGGCATGGATGTAGGGAGAGGGTAAAGGATTGGGGACGATGATGACAATCTGTCACAATTGCTGTGAAATGACAGGGTCAGGAAAGTCATCACCCCATGTGACCATGGAGGCCCAGAGAGGGGGTGGTTTGGAGTGGGGAGCTCGCCACAGGGGACCAAAGAGAGGCCAGGGGAAGGAGAGCTCAGCAGCCCCTCTCCTGCCGCAGCACTGCAGCGGCTGCGGGGCACCGAGGACTTGGCGTTGGAGCTGGCGGAGCTGGAGGAGGAGCGCACAGCCTGCCAGGGCCTGCGAGCACGGCACCCGTGGGAGCTGTTCCGGGATGGCACCCTGCGGCGGCAGGTGACCAGCCTCGTCGTCCTGGGCAGTGCCATGGAGCTCTGTGGGAATGACTCGGTGCGGCCCTTGCTCCATCTCCTGACCACCCCTGCAACTCCGGGCTGGGGGCTAGGGGCTGCAGGCCCCTGGGAGCCACACCAGTGCCACAGAGCCGGCCCTGCGCCCACCTTCCCAGGTGTACGCCTATGCTTCTTCCGTGTTCCTGGAGGCGGGAGTCCCCCAAGAGAAGGTCCAGTATGCCATCATCGGGACTGGGTGCTGCGAGCTGCTCATGGCCTTCGTCAGTGTGAGTCTGGCTCTGGGCTGGTCCTGCACCTTCCCTGTGGGGGGAGGGGGCCCTGGGGCACTGACACCCTGAGGACTTCAGTCCTCTTCTTTAAGCTGTTTCCCACTCCAGGTCACTCTGTTAAAATATGGTGAGGTAGCCAGAATTTTATTGAGCACCTGTTGTTTGCTGGGCACTTAAACCACTATTTTCAGATGAAGAAACTGAGTAAAGTTGAGTGACCTCTGGGAAATTAATTAATTTCTTTTTTAAAAAAGATTTTGTTAGCCCTGGCTGGCGTAGCTCAGTGGATTGAGCGCAGGCTGCAAACCAAAGTGTCGCAGGTTCGATTCCCAGTCAGGGTACATGCCTGGGTTGCAGGCCATGACCCCCAGCAACCGCACATTAATGTTTCTCTCTCTCTCTCTCTATCTCCCTCCCCTCTCTCTCTAAAATAAATTAAAAAAAATAAAATAAAATCTTAAAAAAAAGATTTTGTTTATTTATTTTTAAGAGAGAAAGGAAAGGAGGGAGAAAGAGAGGGAGAGAAACCAATGTGTGGTTGCCTCTCATACGGCCCCAACTGGGGACCTGGCCTGCAACCCAGGCATGTGCCCTGACTGAGAATCAAACTGGAAACCCTCTGGTTCACAGCCATCACTCAGTCCACTGAGTCACACTAGCCATGGCATAGGAAATTGATTTCTTAGTCTCCTGAAACAATAAACTGCTCCCTGCCCCACCACCAGTTTCCTCATGAGGCCCCTCCCCACTGCCCATCCCCAAACCAAGGGGACCATGGCCGGACCAGTTATGGGGGTCCCCTTTCCTTTGCAGTGTGCGGTCATTGAGAGGGTGGGCCGGCGGGTGCTGCTGATGGGGGGATACTGCCTGATGACCTTCTGGGGGAGCATCTTCACAGTGGCCCTGTGCCTGCAGGTAGCTGGGCGGGGTGAGGGGGAGGGGTGGGTGGCTGGGTGCTGGCTGGTCTCCACATCACGCCACCCTTCTGCGGCAGAGCTCCTTCCCCTGGATGCCCTACCTGGCCATGTCCTGCATCTTTGCCTTCATCCTCAGCTTTGGCATTGGTCCCGGTGAGTGGGCTCAACGAGGTCTGGGCTTTGGGACTAGCTGAAGGACCGTGGATGTCGGGTGAAAGATGGGTGGGTGTGAATGCTATGTTGCCTGCGTGCCCCACCCCTACCTCTACCAAGGCTTCTGGAAGAACACCGAGGGACCCTCACTCCCGTGTCTGGGGGAAGGTGGGAGAAAGGCAGGGCAGGGAGCCCTGGATGGCAGTCCCCTGTCCCTCCCTCCTTCCAGCTGGAGTGACAGGGATCCTGGCCACGGAGCTGTTTGACCAGACGGCGCGGCCTGCTGCCTACATGGTCTGCGGGGCGCTCATGTGGACCATGCTCTTCCTGGTTGGGCTGGGGTTCCCCTTCCTCATGGTAGGCCTGCCCCTTCCAGGGTGGGGAGGTGGGGTGGGGGCTGGCAGGGGAGGGGGCTGCCTTTGATTTTGTCCCTGTCAGCAGGAAAACCCCAGCTGGAGGCCTCCATCCAAGGAGACTGAGGCTGAAGGGGGTGGGGCTTATCCGAGCAAACAAAGACAAGTCCCACTTCCAGACCTGTTATGGGGCCTTTGGTCTTGGGGCTGAATGGCACCCTGCCGGGTCCCAGGGTCTCTTTTAACCTACAGGAGGGATTGTCCCACTTCCTGTACGTGCCTTTCCTTGGCGTCTGTGTCTGCGCGGCCATCTACACTGGCTTCTTCCTCCCTGAGACCAAAGGCAAGACGTTCCTGGAGATCTCTGAAGAATTGCGCAGACTCAACCTCCCGAGGCGGAGCCACGGCCACAGGTGGAGAGGCCCAGACGTCATCCAGTCCACGGAGCTGTAGCCCTGCAGGTGTGGCTGGGGCCCAGACCCAGCTGCTGCCCTCCCCTTTGCTTCCTCTCCCTGCACTAGCTCCTGTATTTGCTCACTTAATGAGTGCTTATTAAATGAGCACCTACTGTGTGCAGGCATGGTGCCTTTGGTGCTCCCCACCTAGAGGCAGTCAACAAACAGGAAACCAATGAAAACATAACTACAAACTCAGGAAATTGCAGTGGAAGAAAAGTACGGCTTGTGAAGGGTGCGTATACCCCAGGGTGGGGGCAGGGTGATGTAGTTTAAGAGGGGCATGGCCAGAGAAGGATTTTTCTGAGGAATTGATTTTTTAAAAAATCAACCTTATTGAGGCATAACTTATGTAGAATAATGTATCCATGTTAAGTATACATTCGATGAGTTGTCAGCTTTATCCACCCATGAAACTGCCACATCACCACGGTCAAGACAGAACATTCACATCAGCCCCAAATCTCCCTTTGTAGTCAGTAACCCATCCCACCTGCAGCCCCAAGCCACTGCCGACCTGTGTTCTGTCACTACCGTCCAGATTTGCCTTTTTCAGAATTTGACATGATTCCATGATGTGTGTGTGCGTTTGTGTCTGGCTTTGTTCCATATACAGTTTTGGAAATTCATACAACTCGTTGCATATCTTAGTAAATATTCCTTTGTATTTCCGAGTAGTATCTCACTGTATGGACACACCATAACTTGTTCATCCACTTACCTGTTGGTGGACATTCGGGCCGTCGTGAATAAAACTGCTAGGAGCATTCCTGGACGGGTCATTGTGCAGACATATGTTTTCATTTCTCGTGGTAAATGAATTGCTGAGTTTAATAATGAAGGTATGTTTAGCTGGAGAAGAAACTTTTCCAAAGTGATTATACCGTTTGGCATTCCCACTAGCAATGTTGAAAATTCCAGATGTTCTAAATCCTCGTCAGCACTTGACATTGTCGCCTTCCTGATTTAGCCATTCTTGTGAGTGCATAATGGTGTCTCGCTGTGGTTTCATTGAGGTGTTTCCCTGATGACTCACAATGTTGAGCATCTTCTCATCTGCTCCGTACGGCCATTCATCTATTTTCTTTTATGGAGAATCTGTTCAGATATTTTGTCTATTGCTTATCTGTATTTTTTAAATTTAATGTTTTAGAGCAGTTTTAGGTCCACAACAAAATTAGAAGATAGAGATTTCCTGTGTATCTCCTGCATGCCCCCCCCCCCAACCACACACAGTGCTTCCTCCGTTGGCAGCATCTCCCGCCAGAGCGAGGCATTTGTTACAACCGATGAACCCACAGTCGCCTATCATTGTCACCCAAAGTCCATTGTTCACACTGGGGTTCACGCTTGCGGTTGTACAGTCTATGGGTTTGGATAAATGTATGATTTTGTGTATCCATTGTTATGGCGTCATACAGAGTAGTGAATTTCATGGCCCTGAAAATCCTCTGTGTTCTACCTGTGGTGCGGAGGGGGAGGGTGGGTGCCAGCCTCAGAGCCTGGTCATCTCAAGACAGGGAGAGACTGGACCTAGGCCCCCTGGGAAACGGTGCTTCCACCGTGAGAGAGGAGGGGCTCCCTACCGACCTGGCCCTCTTGTGGGTCTCCACCTGGGCAGCCATGCTGACCCAGAGCTGGTTAGGAAGAGGTGTAGGACAATGCAGAACCTTTGCCCTCAGGGGGACGGGGCAGCAGGGGACAGAGCTCTTGCAAGGAGGCATCTGGCCCAGCCTCTCCTCTGTCTCCTCTTTTTGATCCTTAAGAGCTTGTGACACCCTCACTGTTGGTGGACACCCCAGGGCTTGCCTGGGGGGTGAACCCCTGACCTCAGGTCCCCAGAGCACTCCTGATGGAAGGGGTCCCTCCTTCCATCCAGGCAGCCTGGACACTCAGCCAGACCCTTTGTGTCCTTTTCTGCTGGTCCCTGTCAAGCCCCAGATTCCCCTGGACTGCTCTCCCCCCATACCCAAATGCTCCTAAGCTCAGCCCGCCTATCCAGACCCCAGACCCAGTGTGGCCTCTCCCCACCACCCAGAGCACCCTGTGGCCCCCTCTCCAGATGTTCCAAATCCTCCCTTGCTGGCTGGACTGTGAGTCTCGGCTTCCCAGACTCTGCTGCCTGGGCGCCAGCCTCTCCCACTGGGCCAGCACACAGGGTCGGGTGGGTAGGCTGTCGAGTGGCTGCCTGGCTGGCTCCACGCGGCACTCACGAGGGTTGGAGGGTGTCGCTTCCAAGGCTGCAGTCATTTCAGCATTTGCTCTCACGCCCTCCCCTTTCAGACCCTGAGACTCTGGCTCCCCCTTTGCGGCCCCACACAGGTCACCACGTCCGTGTCTCAGCTGAATCTCGGCCCACTGCATCCTCTGCTGTCCTCAGCAGCGCCCAGGGCGGCAGGGAGGCAGTGGCCCTCAGCTCGCAGAAAGCAAAACGGTCTCACACTGACAACAACAGCGCCGCACAGAGCTGACATTTGTGGAGGGTTTTCTGCCTGTCAGGACGGTTCTGAGTGCTTCACAAACGGCCCCTTTAACCCTAACGAGGGTCCCGAGAAATGAGGACTTTTATTGTCACGTTTTACACAGAAGCAGAGGCCCACGAAGGCAGTGGTTTGTCCAAGGTCACCATATGCCCAGGCTAGGATTGAGCCTGGTGGTCTTGACCACTGCACCACACTGCCTCCCCTGCCCTGGGTGTTTTGCTACCTGATCTCCATTCCCAGAGGCCACCCTGAGAGGTCCAAGGTGACACTGTGGATTAGTGGTGCAGCTGGGGCTTGAGCCAGTGGTTTCTGAGGGTGGGGCCAGGACAGGGGCGTGGAGGACACAGAGGCCAAGCGGCTGTGCTCAGGTTCAGCAAAGGCAGGTGGGAAGCCATGGGTGGCCCTTGCCCAGAGCTTGTGGGAGGTGAGGTTGTGTCCCGCTGGTTTCCTGGGTCCATTCTCCAGGCAGCAGGGAATGGCCGAAAGTTATAGAGGACCAAACATCCAGAGAGACAGAAAGACTCTAATGGGGAGCCCAGGTCCCACCCCATGGTCTCAGCGATACAATAGCATTCCAGGGGCAGATGCCAGGTTTTTGCCTGTTGAGCCCTATTTGGCTCGGGGTGGCTGGGGGAGAAGGCTGAGAGCCGGGAGAGGGTGGACACAGTGGAAGGAGGCAGAGCTCCAAGCTTTGGCGAGTGCGTGTGCACAGCTTTCTTTGGAGGCAGACCGTAAAAATGCATCCATGGAGGCCCCCGGGTGAGGAACGTTAGAGGTGGGTGGATTTCCAGCAGAGAAGGGTTCCTGGGAGACATGGGTGCTAGAGTCGGGATGGGAAAAGCCTGGGATGAGGGAGGTGCAGAGGGAAAGGCCAGTATCCTCCTGGACTTCATGGGGACACGGGCTGTGAGACGGGGAGGGGCCCTGAGGCCAGGCTGGGAATTCGTCCTGTAATCGTGAGAGCCAGCCCATTCAATGGTCTCTTCCCACATCACTCCAAGGACCAGTGGTCCCCATGCCTTCACCCCCACCACCCACCCCCGCCACGGTGCACGCTTACACGCCCTCAGTGATCTGGGAGGTGAGGGTTTCCGAGGGGCCCAGCACACCACCTTGGGGCGGGTGCTGTGAGCTGCCGATGGCTGGCTGTTGTGTGCGTCCGAGCTGGGCTGCACCACTGTCACTTCCTGTGCAGCCACCGCAGCAGGCCCGCTCCCTGGGGGCCCACCAGCAGCCTGGCTTCAGCTTTGGTGGGTGGGGACAGGACCTGGACACTGGGGGAGGAAGGTACCTTCTGTGCCCAGATGCTCACTGTTAGGGTTCAGTCCAGGATGATTGGTTGCAATGCAGTAAGATTGGGTAACATTTACTGAGCACCCACTGTATGCCAGAAACTTTGTGCTTGTCTCATTTAATCTTCACACAAGTCTATGGGAAAGGAATCACTGCCCTCATTTTGACGTGATGAGAAAGAGGCTTAGAGTTTAAGGGACTCAGCCCAGGTCACACTGCTGGCCACAACCCCTGGCTCCTTCCTCTCCGAGTGGTGGTCTCCTGGAAGACACCCCTCTCTGCAGTCCTGTACCTTCAGGCACGGCTGGGTGGGGGTCACCAGCAAGGATGATGACCCCCAGCCAGGCCTTCTTCCACTGCGGCTGGAGGGAGATGGGGTGTTTTGCTTGTCTTTGCTGCAGACTCTGCCACATTCAGTGAACAGGGCGCAGGGACTAGTGAATGGGGGCCATCAGGGCCTAGGACCAGCAGGGTTGTTTGGCAGGAGGGAGTGATGTGGCTGTGGAGGGGGCAGAGGGAATGACAGGAGGGTAGACCATCCACGGACACAGACCGATGACCAGGTCCGTGTCGGGGAGAGGCAGTGAAGGGGAGAGTGGGTAACCACGCCCCCCGGGGGAGCTGGTAGACTGCTCCCACCGTGTCCTCCACGGGCCGCTCCCTCCCTCCAGCATGGGCACCTCGGGTCCTGCCCGTGGAGATGTTTAACCCAGGGGCCGGCTGCCCACTGATAGGGTCTTCCAGGTGCTCACCGTGGCCACAGTCCCCCTCACCCGGCTGACCTATCCCTACACCATGAGGTTTCTTCCCACCCGCTTCTCTGCCCCGCAGCCCCTCCCCCAGGATGTGACACTCGACCAGCCCCGAGCTGCACTGGGGCTGAACCTGCGGACCAGCAGGGCTTTGAGCAGAGAGGGGCTTGTTTCCCTCCTTTCAGTGAACGGCCACTGAAGGGGCTGTGCAGGGCCGGCAGAGCCGGCAGAGCCCCGGGCTCTTCTGGGTTGCCACCTCCTGCTCCTTTGCCTATGTTTTTCCAGCTCCTGGTTGCCCAACAGCTGCTGCACGACCAGGGGTTTTGTCCACATTCCAGGCAGGGCAAGATGCACTAGGCAGGGTGGCACTGCCATCAGATGCAAAGCAGCTGCTTCCCTACACACCCCATTCATCGCATGGGCCACAGCTGCTTCGCACGGCCTCACCTGGTTGCCAAGGGCTCTGAAGCAGCCAGTGCTCTAACCAAGCAGAACTGGGAGCCTGGAGGGGAGGGGATCTCGGGCAGGGCAGCAGCCGTGTCTGCCAGTGCCGCCTGGGGTGGGAGTCCTGTCATTCAGCAAATAATTATTGAACCTTACTGATGTCAGATATTTTACTTTTCTATTGCTCCTGGAACAACTCACCACACATTTATTATCTCTGTTTGTGGGTCAGATGTCCAGCACAACCAGACTGGGTCTTCCGCTTCAGGTCTCACTCACAGGCTGAAGTCAAGGTGCCGCAGGCCAGCCAGGGAGGCGACGGCTTCCACGCTCATTCAGGTTGTTGGCAGAATTCAGTTCCTCGAAGGTGCACGACGGAGGCCTCGGCCCCTTCGTCTTCGAAGCCAGTGAAAGCACGTGGAGTTCTTCTCCTGTTCCCAGTCTTCACCCCCACCCCCACCGCCACATCCCTCTGACTAGCTAGAGAAAATTCTCTGCTTTCAAGGGCTCATGTGTTACACTGGATTCCCCTAGATAGTCCATGATAATCTCCCTCATTATGCCTTCGAAGTGCCTTTTGCCTCGTAACGTGACATATTGCCAGGTTCCAGGGATTAGTGTGGACACCTTCGCAGGCCCTCCACCTGCCTGTCACTGAGGTGCAGGGTCAGGAGGCAGGCAGACAGCAATGGCTGAATGAGACAGTCCCCACCCTCCTGAAGTCACCCCATAGAAAGGGAGATTAAATCACAAATGTGGTGATGGCCTCGAGGGACAGGACAGGACAGGAGAGGACAGGTGCTGGGCTCATTATAGGACCCGGCAGAGCCAGGAGCTCTGGGGGTTTGCCAAGGACTTGAGCCCGACTCAGGAGAGGGAGAGTGTGGGCAAACTGAATTTCAGGACTGTCGCCC